TGACACCACTGCTCTGCTTCAAAGCCTAGTGAGTTGTCTATAGGCAGCATTTTAATATTAAATGCCCACCCCTGTCCATGACTACAAGACTTTTTCAAAAGTTAGATAACAGTAAAGGTAATGTAAATGTAAAAATTAGATATTGCACAACTAAATATCCAATATCGCTCAAAAAATATAGCCTAAAACCTGTAATATGCACTATAAGAAATTATTACTTTTATTCAGTAATTTCAAAAATTCTGCTCTTGTGTACTTTATGAAATTAAAAACCCTTTAAAAATGTTCATAGTTTCCACAAAAATATTAATAAGCATAACTGTTTTCAATATTGATTATACTAGCTAAAATAAATGTTTCTTGAGCACCAAATCAGCATATTAGAATGATTTCTGAAGGATCATGCGACACTGAAGACTGTATGAAAATTCAGCTTTGCCATCACAGGAATTAACTAAATTTTTAAATATATTAAAATAGATTTTTTAAATCAAATCAATGGAGACTTAGTGAGCATAAGACATTTCTTTTAAAATATTTAAAAAATCTCACTGACCTCAAACTTTTGAACAGTATTGTGGGCTGATAACCAATATGGTACCATCTGCATATCTATTGATTATAGACTAAAGTTATATTTAATTTGATTCTTAAAAGTACCAATATGCTAAGATTTCTCTTTTACATTCAATTACATACCAAGTCTCCATGTGCTTCAAGTGAGGAGCATTATTTGTGTGGCACACAGAGTTGTCGCCTATTTAGAGCTTTCATGAGTCACTTATGAGGTTCTATGACTTAAAAGGCAGTTGCCAATGTAAGCAGTAGACAGAATGACAGCTCACTTAGTTTTGGAACAGAGCTCATGAGTACCAATGCAAATTCCTGGGTAAGCAAAATGCGAATCCATAAAACAGCGATAAATGTACTGTAACAGTCAGCAAGATTTATCTTCAGATACACAACCTACAAGTCAGGTTTTGTGGGTCGCTAGACTCGCTACCGTGTAACTCTGCTTTGATTAACAGTCATTCTGTCTGAACCAGGTAGATAAATCAAGCTTGTCACGCAAACACCATCTGCACCTGTATGAAAATGTGCACGGTTAACAAATACAGTCTGGGCTGATAACTTACTGCCTACTTTCGCAGTACATTTAGAACTCAAGTGAATGGTCATTTAGCAGATGCTTTTATCCAAAGCGACTTGCACTACACACATTACACTGACAGACCACCCTGAACAACCTGAGGTTAGCTACCTTGCTCAAAGGCACAATTGTGTGCCTAGCAGAGTTCAAACTCACACCCATTATAACCACTATGCCACACAAATCATATTTAAAGCTCACTTCACTCTACACATATCTTCATTGCCAGAAGAACCTTTACATGTGGTACACAGAAAGTTTTCTATCAAATGGTGTCACTGTGGAAACCTCCACAAGTTCACCATGGAAATCAGTGAGCGCAGCCTGCACTATGATTCACTGGAGACTTGTTAAAGACCTTAAACACTGACACACACCTTGTTAAATGCTTCCATTATCATGCATGAGATTCTGGTGGGTGTGCATTGTCTAGTCCATTTCAGCTGGTTGAGTTATCATTGGCAAGAAGGCAGACGATGCTCATAGAGATTGAATGGGTGGTCCGAGACGTAAAACGGTCAAAGCAAACAAAGATGTTTCTAAGCCAAGTCAACTCTGTAATCACAAAAGCATGCATGCTGTGCATTTCCTTTGTCAGGGCTCAAGTTGAAGTCGATGGCTGACAAGCGGTCGCATTATTGCACTAAATCCTGCTTACCCATATCCATGTATTTATACAAAAGTGGAATTCCTGTAAGCTGAAGGGAACAGGTTGCTTTGTACCGACTTGCAACTGTGACATACAACAATCAAGGCCAGACCAGGCTTGCAGATTCTGCATTAACAAGGAAACACTGTTGCTATTCATTTTGCTGATCTCAAGAACTCTGGATAACAGCAGTAGAGCAAATTCATGTTTCATTATAGGATTTACAAGACAAATGATCTTTGTTCCTGACACTCCTAAACTCTTCAACATGCTCACAGTCTGAAGGAAACAATAATCATGATTCAGTGCAGTGTCTTGCATGAAGAGACAATCCCACATACTCAAAGAATCAGTGGGGAGAGGTAGAGTCCCCTTCACGCCTACCTGATTCACTGGCTTCAAGCATTTTTTTCTCTAGCCACACACGGTCTGCTCTCAGAACCGTCCGAAGTTTAATGATTCACATGAGAGCAAATGACCTAACCAGAGTAAAAATGCCCTCAATCTAATCAGTAATCTAGACAAACCACATCAATATAATGTTAAAACTGGGGGCTTTCAAAAGGACCCTAGAAAACTCAAAATGTGATCATGAAAGTGACCTAAAAGGGATAGTTCACACTCAAGTCAACTTTCTTTTTGCTGCTGATCACTAAATTTAATAAAGTTTTGACTGTTTTTGTTCATACATTAAAGTCAGTGGGGACCAAAATAACACTGGGCCCCCCTGACTTCCACTGTATTTAAGAAGAAAGAAAGACATACAGGTTTTTTGGACTGATCTGTCCCTTTTAAACTAAATCACTGTATTAACAACTGATTGAAACAACAACAACATGATAGTCTTCACATTCCCAAACACCAAGGAGACATTCAGCAGCAAGATAAAAAAAATAGTGAGAGAAACAACATGCTTGGGGGTGTCTGCTGGATGTCTTTTTTTCTGTTCTTCGTCCCTTGTGTTTGTGTAAACACTCACATTCTGATAGATCAGGAATCTGGCAGGGAGTGAGAAAGAACTTCGCTGTATCTTGTAAACAGTAACAATAACCGATGACACGGCCTTCACCTTCTGAAAACAGATGAGGCAGGTGGTTCCGAAATACACCTGTGGAAACCTAATGGGTGGCGAAAAGAAATACTGCTGGTTTTAGTGATGGACTGAGTGACTGAACGTCTTAGGAGAAAGTGGAAGAGAGCTGCCATACAATGTTCGAACGCAAGCTGAGGTGCTCCACTCTGTAATTACTTGCATGTGTCTACCTGGTAGTTGTCACTGTTTTTAAGTGTGTAAAGGTGTGCATTTTATGATCCTATTCACAATCCCAAATGGCTAAGGAATTGTGTCATGAGTTAAGAGAGCTTTTCCTTTATTAGAAGATGAATGTGCATGTTTAGAATGGAAACCAAAGACAGTGGCATGCAAAAAGAAGGTAGACACAAAGTGTGTCATGCTCAGATAAATACATTTGCTCTTATCTTCAAAGGTAATATTAACTCTTCTCCTTCTCAAAAATGAACTAATAATGTCTTCCGCAATTACGTTTGACCTTTTTAGGAATCATTATCTTTGGGTTTAGACTAGGCTGTGATTTGAACAGGAGACCTATTAATCTTTCCTTTTATCTTTGATATGTTGTGTAAACTCAATCTTTTAGAGGTAGACGACTGGAGTTTAACTTTGCTGGGATTGGTGTTGGGGGGAGGAACTGTACAAAAACATGTACAGCAATGACCACTGCCTGACCAGACGCAGCCGGTTTGTTCTGAGAGAGCCAGCAGGATTCATCTCATTGTCTCAGTGAGGGAAAGAAAAATACAAGAGCCAACGCCACAAGCAAGTAGCAGCCCTCTCACTCCTGCACCATGCCAAAACAGCAACTATCAAAACAGTAGGACTTTTTAGGAGATCAAGAGAAGTACCACTGCCTCACCACAGGGGTCCTGTTAGAACTCAGCTCCTTATAAAGACAGACTTCACTTATTATAAACAAAGAAGCACAAGAGTAAGAAAGATCTCAGAGCCCAGGTCCAAGAGAAATTGAAAACTAAACCTTGCGAAAAGCCTCTGAATCACTATGCCACCCACAGCAGGCTTATGTTCCAGGTGTAGAGTTTATCCTGAACGTTTTAAGTCGAGGAGAGTCTGTACGAAATAGAGTGAGTTGAAAACAGTAAATTCCAGTGGAAAATGAGGAGAATCATTAACTCACATGAGAGTAACAGCTGCTGCTCAAAGTCAGAGTTTCATCATGTACAGCGGATCTCTATGGGTAAAAGATAAGGCACTGCAGAAGAGCTGATGGGAAGAGTACAGGAAGTCCGACTGGTAACCACGAATCGGTTCTTTAGTACAATGCGTTACAACGAATCGTTTGGTAACCGATTCAGCAATTCCTTTATGCAATGACGTATATGTCATCACTTGTCGTCATTATACATTATTAAGTCCTAAAGATTTTTTTCCACGGCTATTATTAAGGAACTTATTCCTTATTCGCCCCATCAGTCAAATCCTCGGTTCATTCGAAATCACGAATTGTACACATTCGAAAAAGAGGTTTCAAACACCGTGTGTACACCGGACGCGACAGTTGTCGTGTCGCGCCGCGCCAACAGCTAAAGTCTGTCTACACTGGACGCGACAAAGCGACCGTTGAAAACCATTTGAAATTTTTGTCAATACATAATAAATAGAACGCAGCAGCAGTTTTCTGTCGGCGATTTGTCGTGTCGCGCCGCATCCAGTGTAGACAGCATCACTGATTATAATGAGTTCTATAGTATTTTGTCGCGCCGCGCGCATCCGGTGTAGACACGGTGAAATAGTCAGTCAATTGACTAAAGAACTGCTTGGACCGATTGGCCCTTTTCACAAGACTGTGATGACGCATTTCAACGATCATCAGCATCGTAAATCCTCCAAAGTTTTTTTGTATTTTCATTTTTTTTTTTTTTTTATGTATGTACATTTATAACACTATGATTTGTACTATAGTATATTACCTTTGCATCAAATTACAAAAAAAACGAGTTAATGCTACGCTAGGGTGTTTCTAACAGGCGGTAAATTTGCCATTGTTCTCTACTGACTGCTGTTATCAGTCTCTCTCTTATTTTTTTATTTATTTTTTTGAAAGTAATGAAAACACTCTCACGGAGTTCTTCTTTAGCTATTTATAAAAATATATATTGGTGGTAGTCAACTCTGACGACGGGAAACCCGGAAATGTTCCGAGTAATGAATGAATCGTCCAGTGCTGTTTAGTGAACTGGTTCAATTGAGTCAACATATTTGACTCCAAAGAACGATTCGTTCGAACATGATTCGAACATAGCTAAGATGGAAAAAAGGACACGTTTGGTGCAGTGCACCTTCAATGGCAAATTAAAAAAGTGGACTCAACTATTTATTTGAGCTCTCAAAACATTGTTATATAGTTTGTGTGAAACAACAGGAGCAGTCGCGGCTATGCATAAAATGACCTTTGTAAACCTTTGTCTTATCTAGGTTTGTCTTACAATAGGTTTCTGTTAGTTTAGGTAAATACACTTTTAATGCAATTATTTGTGAATGATTATTTAACTACAATACCATTTTACTCACGTTTGCTGTTTATTTCCATTGTTAGAAGAATCAAACAGAACTCCTTGGCGTGTTGGAAACACACATTGCAGCCCGTGCACCCATCGATGTTATGTACTTAAATGACACGCTCTGCATTGAAAGATACTCAATGAAGTTAGAGACCGACTTCCCTCCATTCTCCTGCTGGGTCCTAATGCTCCCTCTGACCGGGTTTGATGACAGACTGCCCCACATGACTTCTGATGCCACTCATCACACAAAGAATTACAGAAGAAATCAATCTTTAATTGCAATAGAAGATGTACATAGTCTGTTGAAACTGACAGATAAATAAAGTTAGTAAAGTAGCAGTAGTGATTAAAAAAGAGAGACTCAAAAATATGGTTATACTCTAGCTCTCTTCCTTCACTATGGAAATTAATAGAACACTTCATAACAATCTATTGGGCAAACAGGTTGTAAACACTACACACAAAGGCAGAAAACATGATGGTTTCACCTGTTTGTCAGTGAGGTACAAAAACTAAGTATCAGTATCCCTTGGCATGAAAGACCCCACAGTTACTGTTAGGTCCTAATCAGGGTTACAGCTTGTTATTTGTCACTTGTTTCAATGGTGTGATAATGTGTTTTTCATCATATATTATGAGTGTGAACATGTTATCCCTATTATTGGCCATTCAATTCATGTTTACTCCCTCTGCATTTATTTCATTACCAAATCAGGTGACGTAATCGCCCTGGCATGACCCAAAAATATATTAAACCCACTTTAAGGTATTACAGCATTTCCTGATCCATCCTAACAGGAGTGATGAAAGTAATCTGGTCTAACCTTACCAACAGATCTCTTTTTTTAAGAGCATAACATCTCAGAAATAAAGAAAACGAAAGAAAGAAAAACATTGCACCTTAATTCTTTCCTAGTATCGGTTTTGTCTTCATCATCTGTATTAGACATAAGCCATATGTATTTCTACCATCACAATATACAATGTGTGTTTAATCAATATTAGTCTAATAATCCTAAAGTCTTCTTGTGAGAAAAGTGTACATTCAGTATGCATTACTCCTTTGAAATGACCTGAACAAAGTACAGCACCGTAGTGCTCAATTTCATCTGCTAACTTCACAAATAACAGTCAGACTTTGGTATTCATTGTCAAGCAAATCAGCACTTATTTCAGTCCACCTAAGCTTATGTAGTCCTTGTATAATAGTGAAATAAAAGGACTGAAAAATATCATTTTATAACCTTTAAAATTAAATATTACTTAATAATGTACTTGATGGATGATGTCGAATGATTCATCCACTCTCATTATAGTTGTATTAATCATATTTACATTCTCTTCACTCACTTTGCTGGTGCATAAATTAATAGAGAACATAAGGCAAAATTCAAAATCCTTACAATTCCTGATTCCTTCGTTTTGTCATTCAGAAACAAAATAAAATGTGTCCAAGAACCACTTTACACTCAAGTAAAACTAAAATGTTCCAACCATTCTGTTTGTTATTTATTTCTGTCTTTCTTTGTCAATTATTCTAGCCTGTCTGATCATTTATATGCATCTGTCACAAAGAACAGTTGCACAATTTCTAGGTACAGACCAGGCATGACTATGTGTCTGAGGATGTGTTTGTTTAGTTAGACTGGAACAGGTATTCAGGTCTCTCTGTGTGTGTGGGACAGAAATGTTAGAACAGCCGGGCTTGTTTCTTCATCTCGTTCTTCTTCCACAGTGCCAGACGGTCAAACTCAACCATTGTCATCCCAAACACCTGATAGAACTCCTCAGGGGAAAGATGCCGCTAAAATGAAAAGGAAAATTCAGTATGTCCATCAAGTCGTCCATGTGTTCATTATTTGTAAGCAATTATTAAATATTGTTATAATTTACTATATATAGAGAGAGCTGGATAGATCTTATGCTCTGTTATGCTCACCAAAGCTACAATTATTTAATCAAAAATACTTAAAATAATACTTAAAATAATAATATTGAGAAATATTATGACAATGTAAAAGAATTGTTTTCTGTTTTAATATATATTTTAACATGTCATTTATTTCTGTAAAAGAACCACATTCGTTTTTAAAAAGAAATCATTTTGTAACATTGTAAACTTCTTTACTGTGACTTTTGATCAATTTAATGCATCCTTGCTGAATAGCATTCATTTATTAGGTAGTAAGTATATTAAGTATTGTTTTCTTTCAAACAAAAATCTTACTGACACCAAACATTTGAACAGCAGTGTATTTATACAATATATAGTTTAGAATTTAATATAATATTCATATATTAAAACTGTTACATGCTGTAATAATATAATAAACAGTTTACCTCCAATCTGGCCCGGTCTACATCCTTTGGCAACCTATTACGCCCCCTAGTGGTCACAATAAGTGCTTCATATGGGTAGATCTGTAATGAAAGTTCATTGTAAACTTTAAAATACGTAAATATTGAAACTTATATTTATTTATTTACAAATAACTGTCCTGACTCTGTGAAACTTTCTTTCATCGATTGGTAATGGAAAGCTAAGCATTGTTCTCAGAGCAGGCTGTGCATTGGTGGACCTCCTTTTCCTCTCACTTACAAAAGTGAAAGGAAATCACAGAGCCTCTGGCACAGAAGTTGTAACCGAGACAGGAGAACAATATACTTCCTGACCAACCAGAAGCAAATGGGTCAGACAAACTCCTGCCCTCTCCACGGCCCCTGCAGTCTCCAACTCACTAAGGGCCAGCTGGGGAATGACACAGTGACCTTATGACCTGGAAGCACTCATTTCTCCATCCTCTGGTTTCAACATGCTTTGACCAGCAGGACGTTGCTTTGACCCATCAGTGGACAGAGCTTTCCTCTGGAGTGGACAGTGGGCTAATGTTTCAGAGGTGCCTCTGTATCAGGATGTTTTAGTGTCTCTCTGGGCCCTCTTTAATCCTCTGGTAATGCTAAACCATCATCCTTACCTTGTACTCTGTTGGGAAAGAAAAAAAAGCTTTTAAAGTCAGAACTAATTTCAGTACAAATAATTTTATTCCCAAATATGTCAGCAAAATAAGCATTTTGTAAAAAGAAGAAAAAAGCTCCTTTACTTACCTCTGATTCCCCAGGTGACTTCACTGCCACTGTCACACTGATAGTAGTCTGCACTTTGTGGCTGCAAAACAAATATACAGGCAAACAAATTGTGGCTAAAGGTTTAAATGACATTTCCAACCCATCTGCTTTGAGTGCTCTGTTTACAGTGAAACTTACCCTGTGCAATCCATTCCTGCCATATCCGGGCAAAGAGGCTGACTTGGATATGTAGTCTTCAAATAATAATAATAATAATAATAAGACAGAACAATAAACATCAATTTATAAAACAACCTCACTATATGAGAAAAGGTTTGTTAAATTTTGACTGCCTTGTTCGTAAGTGTACAGTAGAGGGCGCTAGTGACCAGGCTTGAATCTGTGTTGATAACACTGCAAATATTTATCTGTTCTTTTATTTATGCAAAATAAAGTAACTACAGACTACAGACACAGTCTCCCTGGGGTTAAAAGCCTTGCCAAAAAATTATGAGAATCATATATGTTGCCAAAACCATATGAGCACCCAGCAATTCTCAGGAGTATATGGTCACTCACCATTCTCCGCTGCAAAGTTTGTCCGAGGAGCTGAAGGAAAGAGAAATAAATATTATAATCTCATCAGTAATCTGATAATTAATTCTATGTAAATAATAAATTCAAATCACTAATTTGGGTCAAATCAGGCAATTGCAGTTCACTATAAGAAACATTTCCCCTTAAACTGCCATGTGCATAGTGTGGAATAGGCCAAATATGCAG